GCTGAACTTTCAGGCGGTCCGAAAGGAACTTAAAACCACATCGAACCATTTCTAGACCATTACAGATGTGCGCCCATTGGGACGAGGAGGTATCGTGTGTAGGTCGCAGGATCTACTCAAATGTACCTCGCTTGCCACTACCTCGATATGTGCTTTAATTTCACCTCACCTTGCATGCACCATACAGGTCTTGCACGGGGAGTCGACTCTAAGTCAAGTCCAGCTGAGACTCTAGACAGGCTCTCTGGAGCAGGCGTCATTGCAATTTACAAATGTAATGGTTTAGTCAACATCGAGAGTCCCAACGGAAATTGTCGTCGCGACATTTGTGGGCACAACATGCTCGTCAGAAATGAAGTTATGGCCAGTGATGTTTCGCGTAGAGCGCCTCACTTCTCGCCCGATTCAGTAAAAAAGTGCGGAAGATTCGGCCACAGTGCGGGAAAATGTAAATCGGGCCTTCGTTGTCCGCGCCTGCGGAGAGAGCCTTTCTTCAGGCGAGTGCATCATGCAACCGCAGAAATGTGTTTCTTTCTGTGGAGAAAGTAACTGCAGCCGACAACTCTGACTGTTCTGCTCGTTTTCGGGTAGGTTCAAATCCTAGAAATCATTGACCGCCGCCGCTGTTCTCGAATGGGAAGCCACTGACATAGTTAGAGACACGGCTTTTGGTTATTCTGGCATTACAGCGTGCCGCACTCCCAGTATAGATTCAAATCTATCGCTGGATATTGAGACTGCTGTGGAAAAACCAGGGGCTAAGTGTATCGATAAGCTCATATCTAACCTGTCTGACTGTTTAGTGCACATTCTTTCAAGATCAGATGGTGTAAGGAGTACATACTAGTACAGAACTGTTCGTATCAGCCATTACCAGCGACGCCACTCAGCTGCACAATGTAGTGTTGGACGATCTTTCTGCATCTGCAGACAAGGCTAAGCAGTCAGGGTCGCAGGTGTACTGGGACCGACATGCGCCTCAGCCGAGCACAAGTGCTACAACTGATGTGGATATCGATATGCGAGTTCATACACGTGCCAGATCCCCGATCTCCGCCGATCTAAAGTCGAAAGCTTAAATAAAAGAATCATCTATTTCGCGTAAATTTAAGATGCCAAGAAGGACGCGACATGTGCGTCTGCGTTGCGCTCAACACCATCGGTCAGTTGAAGGTACTTCAGTGGAACTGACGTTCCATATGTTCAACCTCAACCGATTTGCATTAATTTTGCAATCAATTTATTCTTGACATTATGATTCTCCAAGAAACTTGGCTTACGGGATATAAAATTTTTATTTTGGAAGTTTTTGTTCTTGTCGATTAGGTTGCCAAACACTGGAGCAGGCGACCTGGAGCAGCGACAGGTTTAGTGATCCTTGTATCGAATTAATTAAGCCATAGGGCAAACATTTCTTTCAGAGGTATAGGCTCGGATTGTGAAATTTCAGCATTAGATTTGTGTCTCCCCGGTTATTATCCTTTTTAATTTATAAATTCTATTACCTCTGGTGTGCAAAGTACGAGTTACCTTGACAGCGTTTTGGCAGCATGTAGAAAGGAAATTGTACTCACAGGAGACTTTATTTCACATCATTTGTCTTGGAGGTCAAGGACGGATTCTTGTGCTAGGCGACTGTAGGAATGGACTAGTAGGCCACAACCTCTCGTGTCTGAATAAATACTACGTAAAATTTGTCCGAGATCAGACTTGCTCAGTATATTAGATTTTACGGTTTGCTCCAATGGAATCAAAGTTTTTTCATGGGCTGTTGTAAGCAGCGGCCACCTTCCCATAGTTTTTGATATTGCTTGTCCAATAATAACTTTAGATCTGCCAACTCACACATATGTCAACCAGTAGCCAATTTCAAGCCTGCCTGCGTTCTGCCATATCTAAACCTCAAGATGCCAGTGGTAAGGAGATTGCAACTACGATTGGTTCAATACTAGAGCGATCTAGGAGAAATTTCCAATTCGCTATTCCATTGAATAAACAATTCTCCTCTCGTCGGTGGAACGATGAGTGTACGCGCGATTATAGAAGACAAAAAGCTGCTTGAAAAAAAAAACAACTTCTTAATAATCAATGCCCAACAAACTGGAACGACTATCAGCTCCTTGCTGGCTTACTTAAACGTACAGTTAGCCGCGCGAAAGAAGAATATGACAGTGGACATTACAATTATTTTTCCCAATAAAAAAATTAGGCATACTTTGCTTGCCTATCTCAGGACAAGGAAAGTACTGCCAACGTCTTTAACGTTAGAATCATATGACTTGACGCCGTGAGAAATGAACGCCTCTCCAGAAGACATAACGCAAGGTTTAGAACGCCGCTTCACTGCTAATTTTTGTGGCTATTCATCCCATGCTGGTCAATTAGCATGAGTTTCCAGAATTTTTTTAGCTGAATTGAGTCATACAGTATTGTGCTTACCAAGAACAGTGGCTGTTGCTAGCGGCTGTTGCCAGGATCAGATGGAATCGCGATTTGTATGCTAAAAGTTTTACTACCAGAATCACCTAAACTTCTGCTAGAATTTGTGAATTATCCGTTAGAGAAAGCATGGATACAGTCAGAGTGGAAACTTGCCAATATTGTATTGCTGCTCAAAAAATTAAACTGCAGCATTCACGTTGAATAACATGAGACCAATCGCACTGACATCAAATTTATGGAAATTGGCTGAAGGAATCATCAATATACGAATTAATGAACTTATTACCGAGAACTCAACTCTGAGCTCCTGTAAAATTGGGTTCAGGGCTGGTTGTTCAATTTTGTATGCCCATGTTGATTCAGAAAGTCGGCTTCAATTAGCTCGGCTACATAACAAACAGGCAGCTGTAGTTATCTTGGACATCGCTAAAGCATATGATACCATATTGGAGCGCTGTACTTTGATAGATCCATTAGAACACCACAATTTTCCGTAATAAATATATAGTAGCGCTGGTTGACAATTTTCTCGCAGACAGCACATTTTATTGTTTTAAAGATGGGTTTTCGTTACCTAATCATACCCAAACGAGGGGAGTACTGCTAGGCTCAATGCTTCCCCTGTGCTATTTAATGTACTAATGAGCACCATTCCACGTAAGCAGGATATAACAACTTATGTTTATGCAGACGATATCGCGTTTTTTTTTTTTGCATTGATAGATAATATTCAGACCTTACATGAACGGCTACAACTTACCTTAATATCTTGGAGGGCTGGCTCGACGGCAATTGCTTTGTACTTAATCCGAGTAAATGTGCCCTTCTTGTTTTCCCCATGCAATACCCCGTGCAGATTTTCCTGTCTTACCGTCATGAGGATATATCACAGGTGGAACCTGTTAAATACTTTGGATTAATTTATAACATCGCTTAACTGGCGACCTCACATCAAGTATATCGGCAGAAAAAAAATGCGCGAGCCATCGGCATATTACGTAGGCTCAGCAACTACCGCATAGGTATGAGAAAAGGCACACTGGTAATGATATATCGCATGTACGTTCGTCCTATTTTGAAACTTGGTTATGTACGTTTCTCTGGGCCTTCAGTTACGGCCTCTCATTCTTTTGTAAAGAGAGACCTTTCGCTTATGCCTTGGCCTGCCTAAAAGAGTTGTTGTGTTGTACGTCCAACAGGGGATCCCTCCCCATTCCTGTAGGTTTTCATTGTTCAGCCAATCTTGAGAATCTATGAGTCATCATTAAGATAATCAGAAACGGCCTTTATTTCCGCCCCAGAATCATTTTTTTAGAGCAACATAGCTGCGATTTCCCACCCTACAAATTATATTTGTACAAATTTCACTGAAGCTTCTGTAAACGTACGTATATGCGATAACGTCTCGACTCGTGATAATCCATATCTCATGAAAATTCAATTTGACGGAATTTTTTTTCTAGTAACGCCAAATTACTTCCCCACGATATTTTAGATGGTTTATTACGAGATCACCTGCGCAGTATTACACCAAATGTTGTTATTGCTACATTCGCACCACAATGTGACGAAAAGGCAGGTGTTGGTATATTTAGCACGAATTTATATTGGTCTTATTCCCTTCGACTACCTTATTTTATAACCGTTTTTGTGGCTGAATTTCTGGGAGTTGTGCTCGGTCTTACGCAAGTTAGATACGGAAATTACACCATCTGTTACAATAATAGATTCTCTATCTCTCTGTGCGGCACTTTCTGTGGGTGCTGAATCTGAAGTAATAAATGCGTTCTGTGCACCAGTACCTGCGCAATTAAGAAAAATCTGTTTAGTTTGGGTGCCAGGATATAAAGGCTTATTTCTAAAGGAAATGGCCGATTCCTTAGCTAAGTCGTCAATAAGTGAACCGATTTTACCGTATCATCCGCTTATATAGCTGCGACTCGATTCCGCAGGTGGGCGCTTATGGAAGTATTTGGAAACACAGGACTGACACACTCAACCCAATATCGCCATTTATTATATCCCTGGCGAAGAGCCTTTTGCGAAAATCGTTAACTAAGCTATCACGAGGCTTTGCTGCCGGGTACAGAATTGAAATTTCTACAAACCATAGGCGTATCAGCTGGGGTTGGGGCAAGGGAGCCCCCCCCCCCCTTACTAAGAAAAGTTGGGGGGGGGGGGGATGATGATTATGATATGTGGGGTTTAACGTCCCAAAACCACCATATGATTAATTATGACAGACGCCGTAGTGGAGGGCTCCGGAAATTTCGACCACCTGGGGTTCTTTAACGTGCACCCAAATCTGAGCACACGGGCCTACAGCATTTCCGCCTCCATCGGAAATGCAGCCGCCGCAGCCGGGATTCGATCCCGCGACCCGCGGGTCAGCAGCCGAGTACCTTAGCCACTAGACCACCGCGGCGGGGCGGGGAGGGGGGCTGAGCCCCCCAATTTTATACAGTGGTCATTCTTGGCTGCACACTGGGGAAACCAACAAGTAAGGCATAGTTTTCCCTCAAAACAGTAATAGCTCAATTATGTTTTTGCGGCAGCAGTGCATTGGAAACAGTAGATCATTTATTTTTGACCTACAGGCGGTTTAGTGCAGTATGAAAAATTCATTTAGAAATGAATTTACGTGGTATTGTTATGAATTTGTTTGTGCCACTAATTTTGTATTTTGGAGTCTCTATTTCTAAGTTCTCCAGTGCCAAGGTATGCGCGGCGATCAGGGACTGTAATAATAAAACTAAACGGTTGACTATATAATCGGTATTATTATTACCCTAACATGTATACAACAGTATATACGTACTACTCTAATTTAAGGAATAATTGTTTTTAATTTAAATAATTATATGCGTTTGATCAATGAACATAATTTCCGGCAATCTGCGATCTTCCTATTATATAAGCTCCAGTATTCTAAAGCTGCGTACTATTTTATAAGATCACTCAATTCTAGGCTCCGATTCCCCGCAGTAGATATGCACCACGAGCTATTGGTGAACAAGAACAAGAAAATTTCACTGCTGAGAATAAGCGGCTTTTCTGGCAAGTGAAAACAAAGGCAAGAGAAGTGGAAAATCAATTCGCCTGGGTCTAGGACGGCAAATTATTTGTTCGGCTTAGTCAACGCGACAGAGTATTACGGAATAAGACAGCCAGTGACCTCGATCTCATAAGCTCTAAGAATATCCCCCCACCTCCCTTTTTTTTCTTGTGCCATGTAAGCACGTGGCTACACACAATAAAATATGCTATCTTGATGCTGTTTCATTTAGGCGTCTCAAGGCCCTACGTGGCGCCAAGCAATTTTCTTTGCTTCACCTTAACGCACGAAGTTTAAGAAACAAACGTGATTCTATTAACCTTTTTTAGACAACTTAGATCACGAATTTGACGTCTTGGCATTCACCGAATCCTGGTTTTCCAATGACTGCCCTGACGTATGCGTTTCGGGATACAACTGCATATCGGTGTCACGACTTAACAAAAGAGGAGGTGGTGTTGGTATGTACCTGAAAAGCCACTTCAATTATGAAGTTATTCCGGAATACTAAATCATAAATGCTACGAATGTGTGTTCGTGAACCTGTTTACTTACGGCAGGGCATCACACATAAAATGGTTACAACTTTGAAGATTTCAGTGTTTGGTCCTTTTCCGCATTTTCTTTTAGTCCAAAGTCAAGTCAATTTTTCAATCCACGGCTTTTGCTTCGCTGACGTCACGAGAATCCGAACTCGGGCACTCCGCAGTTTTGCTTCGTAGACGAGCGTTCCTCTTCAAGAGCTCTTCCATCTCGGCGATTCCATCGGAGTCATCGGAGTCATCGGGGTCCCAGGAAACCATGAGGCTCGTCAGGGTGTAGTTCTTCCTCAAACCTTGCAGAATGGTATCCACCTGGTCAGGCAAGATTCCCCAGTACTCGCAGATGGAAATTTCCTTCAACGTGCTGTTCACAGCGAGCAACTCTGACAGCGATTTTACTATTTCTCCATTTAGCAGTTCGGCGTACATCGTGAACGCCCTAACGGAACTGTTCTCTTTCAAGGCCTCAAGGACGGCGACGAGTTGGTGCTCTTTGCCCTTTTTCACTCTCATGAGGTTGCAGATTTCTCGAAGCGTGGTCGTACTCCTCACTACGGACGCAATGCCTTCGGCCAGTGCGTCGAAGCTGTCCTCGCTGGGATAAAAGTGGAGCGTGCGAAGCGTCTTGTCCGCGGCCACCGCGTCGAAGAACTCCCGAAGAACTACTTCTTCGACAGTCGACGTCACACTGACTGAAAGGTCTGTATAGCACAATCCTTTGCGGAGAAGCGTGGTGAGTTCTGGCAGGAGCTCCTGGGGCCACAGGATCTTCAGCCTCTTGAAGACATCCGCGCACAGTTCCTGCTCTAACAAGGGCGTCAGTTTGCCCTTTTGCGCGGGACACACGTCAAAGAGGTCCACCAACTCTAGCGTCGTGTTGGACGTCAGCATCCTCGCGAAGCCTATCAAGGTGTCGGGAGACAGCTCCATCGATGCTAGGGTGAGCTTCTTGAGGGTGTCGTTCGCAGCCAGGGCTTCGATGAGGGTTGCGGCACCTTCGTCACCGCCGCAGGAGTTCCAAAGGCTCAGCTCTCTCAACGACTTGTTCTGTCGGATGTAATTTGCGATGTCCTTGGCGAATGCGTTCCCCGCGTTGTCGCAGCGCAGGTCTAAGGTTCGCAGGTTTCCAAACACTCCGGAGTCGCTGATGCACAACTCCTTGCCTTCGCAGTCGATGAGGAGAAAGTAGACTTCTTTCAGTGAGGGGCATTCTTTTAGGTCTTGGAAGGCGATCTTGAAGGCCGCCAGCGAGATTTGCCACAGAGTGAGCTGCCTCACGGGTGGTCCCGTTGTCAGCATTCGCCGGAGCACGGCAGCATCCTTCTCGGAAAGGTTCTCGGTGTAACTGAGCTCGGCGCCTTTGCGTTGCGTGCTTTCAGCGTTAACGTCGGTAAAATCTTGGTCGCGGTCGCCGTGACGTACGTGTTGCTCGAGCCCCTTCCGGAAGAGATCCATTACTTCGGTATCTTGGGTGTCAGCTTCATTCGTGACTCCGTCCGCCATGTTTGATACGCTGATAAAGAGGTTTTGCTTTGTACTTTTGCAGTTAGGATTCTCAAGTGTTCGCTCAAATTAAGACAGCGAGTGGAGGCTGAAAAGATTTGCGAGGGAACTGCAGTTATAAGCGAGCAATTTTCAGCCTGCAATCGTCGTGCACACGTTTTTCAATAAACTAGGACTTGGTGAAATGTCCTTTTCTGGAACCGGTGAACAAAAGCTTTGATGTTGGCTTGCGTCAGCTACTCGATGAACGATTTCCCGTAGACATTGCCGCAGGGAAATGTACACGTCACGGCGGAGCGTCTCTACTTTCGTGACTCGGTGACACCAACCTATGAAAAAAAGAAAACGTTATGAGCATAAGTAGATCGACCAATAAAATATTCTATATTGAGTAATAAATGTAACAAAACATAACAGGACAAAGAAAACGAATAAAATAAACCCTCCGGGAACGTGAGGCCCCGGCGTTACATCAGTGGGTTGACCCGACAGTTCAGTTAAGTCTTTTCTCAAATATTAGTAACGCCCGTGTCGTTTGGTGTTTGCCATCGCGATGTGTTCCCTTGTTTATTTTCGTGGGTGATTTGCTTAGGAGTGGAGTGCTTAGAAGAACGACAAAAAATAATAAAGGAAATGTGGCAAGAAATGAAATTCAGATAACGTGAAGAATTGTAGTCATCGTTCTTTTTCCCTGTCGATTTTTTATTCCAATATACTGTCAATAAAGAACAACCAGAAAAGAAGACAACTCTTCGTGAACTTAGCGCCAAAGTATACGAGTAATATTTGAGAAATGCATATCCGAAGTCGAGAAACAAGGTATTAATTTTCACGCCTTCACAAATACGTAATGCGACCGAAGCATATGCACATTTTCCCTTGAAACCCACCTACATTTTTTTTCAAAAAAAAAAAAACCGTGATTTACATTTAGCGGGCACCGTATGTGCACCAAACTCGGACACAGGACGCGCGCTGCTCTGTTTGAACTTGTGCTTCACCACCGCGATTTCGGCCACGGTAGCAATAAATCTCCTCCCTGAATTTCCCGGCACTTGCCAGTCAAAGTGATTTATGTCATAATAGAATGAGCAAGCGGGCGTGTGAAGCATGGAGCGTTCTGAAAAAGTGTTGCATGCGTGCTGTACAGCACGAATACGGACACGAAAACTTTTTTTTTAAGTCGTGGACAATGCAGCGCCGCTCTCGTCGGAGAGTCGAAGCACAAGCGACGCCATGCCTGTTTTGCGACTGTCGTGCCCTACTATGCGTCCTATCACTGCTATGACTAAGCGTTGCAGAAGAGTTGCGCAAGCATCAAACAACTGAATCGCTAGGCGCGGTGGGAGTTGCCGGCATTTTGTACACAGCGCATGCTGTGCATCTGCATCTGCTAATAGTGCCAGTAATTATTGACATTGTTGGCGAGTGCCGTCTCGCCGTTGGAGCACAAAAAATGCGAAAAGCCGAGGTGCGCAAGCGTGTAGACGACACGGCTTAAGAAAATGCAACGCGCGTTAATATCAGTGAAGAAGGCTGGCGAAGCGAACGTGCGTGGTAGTCACGACAGCTACGTACCGCTGTTACGTAAGTATTTCTTCAGACTCGCTGTGTTGTCCACCTGTGGGGAGAACGGCATCCGCAGAAAACAACTCCTGTATGCTCTCCTTCGCCGGCTTCGAGTCTGCTCTCAACTATTTGTCAGCGAAACGGCGAGTAGCGTCGCTCACGGCCGGAAACTCGTGAATCGATAAGATAGCTGCCTCAAAAGACCAATTGTTCGCTGCAACAAATCACGGAGAGTACTCCTGATAAAGTGCGTGCAGCTTGACGCACAGGTTTGACGCGGGAGGTGGCCGCAACGCCACGCCAGTCACGCGCCGTGGAAACCCCTTGTAGCGTTGCGAGCGCTTAGTGAGAAAGGCGTTGACAGAACGCAGCTGTTTGGTTTGTCTTCTCAGCAATCCGCTGCAAGTACATTGGCGCTAGCAAAGTCTGCGGTGTCAATGACTATAATAGTCGCAACAGCCAGGCAACTCCGTTCTGAAGTGTGGACACTTCAGATCGACAAACCTGTGTAGATTATCAAGTCCTTACGTCACCTCTAGCAATGACGGAAAGCACCCCGCACCACTGCAATTTTGTTCCCAGATGGAGAGCCCGTGGTGAAGGAGGAAAAAAAAAAAGAAATTGCCGTTCTGTGGCTGGAGTAACACCTGCAGGAAGTTAGCTGCTGGTTGAAATCACACTGCTCGCTGCAAGGCTGTGGTTCTGTGCTACGCAACGACATTACAAAAGAGTCGCTTACTAGCGCCTGTGTTGTCTTCTTCCTGTGTACTCGTTTTTTTTTTTTTTTTTTGCGCCGGTTTACAAAGCAGTGTCAACTAGCTCGATTTTCTGTACTATTGTGGTGTCGTAATCTACAAAATAGCGATTTTAAGCAATGCCAAGCTCGGAATTTGATGGCATTCTTGTAAATCTCATGAATAAAGAGTTCAAGGTGTGAAAAAGGAGAGATGCTCCTGGCGTGCGGTTACCGGAGAAGTGAACGTCGTGCAGCGTCGTGCTCACAACTCACAGAAACGTCCTTTGATAAGATATAAGACTGGTTAGTTGATTACATGCGCTGTGCATTAATTAAAATAATTTGTTTTCTCATGACATCACGTCACGTGACGCATCGTGGTGTGGCCTCGGGAGTAATTCGTACTGCTCCTGGATTCGGTGGTTTCCGCTCCATGGTAGCGTCCTTTTAAGCGCAGCAAAAGCCAGAAACAGCGCCGTTCATAAATGAACATCCGTACGGCGTCGGGTATAATTATCGAATTTTCATTTGTGCGCAGCTGGTCTGACATTCCACCCGCTTGGTCCTCATTGCAACGAAGATGGGTCAATAGAGCATTTTCTGATCTCACGTTGAAGATATTCGGCGTTCAGAAAGCTATCCCAAGAAATATGGTTTCGCATAATACAATTAAAGTTTGATATTTTTAGGTGAATTGGTCCTTGAACACAGTTGCACGAAGGCATGCGCCGCTTCTCAATGTGTTACAGCCCAGTCAATGAGCTCGTGAAATCAAAACTACATATTCATTTCAAATTATTGTTCTCAATGGAGCAATCCAACTCCAGTATTTTTTTTTTCAGCCAAACACTTATTCTTTTCAAACACATTCCTACTATGCAACTTGCGAGTAGAAGAAATTTCATCTATAATTTTATTGCTTTGATTTTTATTCCCTGATTCTTGGACAATACTCAGGCATGGATCTGCGCAGACAACCGCAGCTCCTACATTTTCATTTGCACGTCTAATTAAGTGCAGACTCATCAGCGAAGGAAATAAAAAAAAACACTCGAAAAATTTTTAATGCACTAGTATATTTACTAGACTTTATTGTGCTGCTCTGTGCAAGGGCATATCATTTAAACAATGTATAACTTGCCAACTGTAAAGGCAGAATTGATTGTGCATAAATATACAAAAATAGGCACAACTCCATACCACGAGGCGAGTTTGAAATTTGAGACCTCAATGTCACAGTTTATTGATTCTCAACGTACTGCCGCAAATTTCGCTAGAGAACATTAAGTACGAGCAGTGGTACATGAATTTCCAGCACAATCTTAGCGTTTTCCTTTTTCTTTCGTAGCGAGCGCGTGAGACTACGAATGGGCGAGGAGGTGACAAGAGGGCAAGAACCTACGTCGTTCGTAAACGCGCGTCATGACCTTGAACGCTTGCTTTTCTTATTCGCATGACTGCGAATACCGACCGAAACCCATCGCAAGCACGTCCAGAAATGTCGTAGCTCTGTAGGAAGGGCAACGAAAGTTGTATTGACGTCACACCAGACCTTTAGTCAGCGTAGGCGTGTGCATCTTTCCCCTTTAGGGAGGACAAACGTTCGTCGTAGAGCGCATCCCCTCCCTATTATGTCAATGTATAAGGCTGACTTCGACCCCCCCCCCCCTCGGATGGATGGATAGATGTATCCGGCTGTGCCCTTTAGATCGGGCGACGGCTCACGCCACCTAGGCTTAATTTCACTCGCGCCTTAATTGTAGCCACTAATCAGTTAGCCTCCTCTTAGTTATTTCTACCCGTTCAAAGTCTATTTTGCCTTCACTGACACCAATGCTTTGAAAAATTCCGTGCCATTATCTTGGACTATAAGGTAGAGTCCTTTACAGAACATCTCCTTCTTCTTCTTGTTCTCCTCATCTCATGGCTCTTACCCAGTGCATGAAATTGGCCGAGTGTTAGGTGAATTTGTTTTTTTTTTTTGTTTCTTCGGAATACTACTCGTATATGCTAGGGACAGGTTTCAAAACAAATAACTGCTGAATAATAATATTTAAACGTTTAAAAGAATGAAGAATTGAACTATAAATTCTTTTAATCTGACTGATAAATTCCTCTACGGCGTAGTAAATATCAACTGTTCAGCCATTTCCTCTTCGTCTCCACACGCAATACATAACGTGTCTGTGCCTTCGTATTTGGCTTGGTGCGTCTTGGTTCGTAATACTCCCGTTCTGGCCTCGAAAAGCAGAGAACTACCCCGAGAAGTTTTTCGGGGATCATCTCGGTAGCTCTTTTTTTTTTTGCAATTTCCTGCTTGAAAGTTCGATGGGTTTCAAGTGGTGATTTCGTATGCATTCTAATTTTTCACATGTCCCCTCCCTCCAAAGTCGCAGTGCCCCCTCCCTATCATCGCAATGCATGTGGCTCTATGGGACCCCGTCCCCTCGTAAGTGACTATGTGAGTGGCCATCCCCTGTGCGCACGCGTAATTTATTTATTTATTTATTTATTTATTTCAGGTACCCTCATGGCCCAGAGGGCATTGTTGAGGGGAGTGGTACAGGATCAGGATGTTGAAAGGTGTTTGAATAATACAAACATTGCACACATATGAGCAAATATACAAAAGCACTGAACAAACAAGTATCCAGCGGTGCGTAGAAGTATACAAAAGTTTAACACAAATCTACACAGGTATTGCCTCTAGCATGAAAAGATAACAAAACTAACATTGACAACTGCATGCATATGACACATTATAAGGTAAATAAACACTGTGAAGTTCAAGCTACACAGAAGTGAAGTAATCAGACACACTTTTCCTAAACTGGCCAATATTGTTAGCAAGTACTAGGGATGGTGGCAGGCGATTCCACTCTGATGTAGTTCTAGGAATAAACGAATTTGAATATGATACAGTGCGACATTTCGGGATACCAACTTTGCAAGAATGATCTATATGCAATGAAACATGAGCAGGGGGTAAGATAAGAGCAGTTTTAAGGGTGGCGTTCAATTTATAGATTTTAAAGAAAAGGCACATGTGCCTAATGTAGTGAGGTGAGTGACTACCGGAGACCTCCGTCACGTACGTACTGGCAAAGCATCGTGGCTGCTGCTGCACATTTCTTTTGCAGCTGCTTGTGCGGCACGCGTGTGCGAGAGCAGACGATACTCATCAGGACGTGCGTCACATCTTTGTGTGGTCACGTGACCAAGCCACCTACACTACCTACACTAAGTCAAAGCCCAATTAGCGCCTAGAAACTGAAACCGAAAACTGCCCACATGAAAGTCGATATTGGTTTATTTAGCGAGAATAAATTAATGTTGATGCGTGTATCATGCTTCCTGGAGCTAGCAGAAATGCTTGCAGCAAAGGACGCGCAAGTCACAAATATGGTGGCACCACCCCTTTAATGATGGAATAGTTAGGTATATATGTTTGTACATTTAACATTTTTGAACCCATTAACGTTTTGCTAAATGCAGATTTTGTTTCCGTTTGAGAGAGCAACTGCGTTTGTTGAGAAGAGCTTGACTGTCTTCAAAGTGTGCAGTTTTTTTTTCTGGTTATACAGTTCACGCTCAATGCGTGAGAGGCTAAACAATCGCGGCGCAAATGAACTGCTCCTCTTTCTTTTTACGTTCAATATTGGCATACGATCGTGTGTAGCAGACAGACATATACCTTGCAGTCATGCGTAGTTGCCGTATTTGGCATAGTTAGGGTAAGTACAAGTTGAAACTGCGCACCTTCTCTGCACAGGACATTTAGTGACTGATTACCTCAGTTAACAGGTTCGGCTGCGTGGAGATAGGTGATTAAACGACACTGATTATTTCCAACCCACCATGGAGGCCTTGCTATGGTGCTTGACTGGTGACCGAAAGGTTCCGCAATCGAATCCTGGCCGGAGGGCGGCATTTTGAAGGATGCGGAACTCCGTTTGGTTAGGTCTTTAAAACCCCATGGTCGAAATTTACGGAGTGCTACTCTACAGTCTCGCTCATAATAATAAAACCACAACCATTGTTATTATTATTACCGATTAAATAAATGAAAATTAAAGACAGGGCTCGATTCACAAGTGTAATGGACATAATGGCCACTTTCATCTACGAAGTTGATTCGTCGCTATAATTTTTCGTCGACCCGGAAGGCGGACCCAGGATGGAGGTATTTACGATGGGTGACTGCCTAGTCGTAGAGGAAGCCACCAGCCCCACAGAAGGTCTTACTGACGACCCATAGATTTTCTTCGACGTCCCAAGAAATTGTGCCGGCGACATCGAGTTTTCTTCACTTTCCTTTCCGCTGCCCGTCTCCGATACCGTGAAGCTGGAAGCACTGGACTTCAGCAAGCCCGCCCAAGAGCCTTGTTTCGATTTCCGCGGGTTCTCCACCCCTTTCGGTCCAGCGGTCTTCGGTGAAGCCGTCGTCGCGCGGGCTCCCTCGCCTGGCACGTTGTGGGTACGGGAAGTTGACGCGGCGGCTGCTTCCTCTTCCAACTCGGTCGACATATTGCCTTTCTCGTCTTGATCTGGAAGAAGATGCTGGGGCTCGTGGAGCGTGGTGGGGGAGTCCTCTTC